TGTATGTTTTACTCTTAAAAAATGTATAACTAATAAAGATTATTTTTTTAAAAAAAAAGCACGCAATATTTCTTTCTCTTTGAGTCTCCCACCCACACAAACACCCCCCTGCTAGAAAGCATGGCATTTACCCCAGAGGACTTCCAAGGTGATTGGACAGCTGACCATTAGATACCTGTACTGACTCCTCCAGTGAAAATCCAGGCCCCCGTGGTCATGGCAGCCTTGATGAGCCCCTTCCCAAACACTTGCTTAAGTTTGGGCTGCAGCTCAAAGTTCTGGAGCCCCCCGTGGACGGATATTAGGAGCTTGGGGAGCTCCAGTTGCCATTCCTTCACCATGAGTTGGAGCAGCAAGTCCGGCTTGGTATCATAGGACACTCGGATGTACTGCAAGACAAAAGAACGCAGCAACATTGCTGGATCTGATCAACATCCTATTTAGCTCAGCTCCAATCTTGGTTTCCTTTCTGGCAAACCAGCTTGGTGGGGAAACAGTTTGAGCCTAGTCTAGGATTTTCTTTCCCAGATGTATTTTATGGATTCCTGCCAGACGTGGGGCAAGGAATGGCAGAACCTGGGGGCAGAGTTAAAAGAGGGGTCAGCCCAGAATCCCTACATAGGCACAAGCAGACCAAGTCCAACTTCCTTTCAAGTCCGTTTCCCCTTATCTCCTAGAAGGTGCTAACCATTAGTTGAGAAGATTGCTTCTCAGTGAATCAGATTAGTTGGACCTTCACACATGGATTTGGTCATTTGCACCTGACACCAGGAGCTCTAAGCCTGTCACCAGCGGCATATTTTATTTCGTGAACACAATTTGACATTTTGGGTAGCCTTCAGATTTTCTCAAAGGTCCTTTCTTTACGTTGGCTTCCACGTTGGCTTGGGTGGAAACCTTGGCATTGCCTAAGGATCGATGTCTTGAGACTCTCCAGCAGAAGATCATGGAGAAGGCCACCTTGGGAAGCCATCGCAGACCCTTCTGAAGAACCAACCCTTCTTACTTACCATGGACTTATTGATATGACCTCCACCTTGGAACTCCAGATTTCCAAAGGCATCGGTGGGGAGAGCGTGGGTGTGTTTACTGATGGACCATTTTTCTGGCTGGGCCTCCGACTGCTTTGTTGCATCTTCTCCATCCTTGCTTGCAGCTTCAACCGGAATGGGGATGTGTTGAAGGAGGAGTTGACCGCAGCAGCACCTGTGTGGCCAAAGCAAAACAGAGACATGAAACCAGACCCAGCGGCTGGCGCCAAACCACTTTTCTTACTTTGGCTATCCAGGTCTGTTACCCATCTGAAGATGTTCTTCACACCAGTTCTTTAAGAAATCAGTGGATGACAAAGAATTACCAATGCAAACACCAAGACAGAAGTAAAGTCACCTGGTAGGATCTTTGCTGTTGACAATGATGCGGCAGCATTCTCTCTTGAAAAAGGTCTTCTCTATCCAGGCTTTTTGACCCTGAAAGTGGAGAAGCAATTCAGTCTAGGCACGGAAATTGACACCAGGAGAAAGGAAGAGATAGGAGGAGCACCACATTGGATTTAGATACCAGCTAGAGCAGAGGTCTTCAAACTCGGCCACTTTAAGACTTGTGGACTTCAACTCCCAGAATTCCCCAGCCAGCATAACTGACTCTCTTGTAATCCCTTCCTCTGCAATCTCTCCATTTAGATCAGAGGTCTTCAAACTTGGCCACTTTAAGACTTGTGGACATCAACTCCCAGAATTCTCCAGCTAGCATAATTTACTCTCTTGTCATCCCTTCCTCTGCAATCTCTCCACTTAGATCAGAGGCCTTCAAACTTTGGCCACTTTAAGACTTGTGGACTTCAACTCCCAGAATTCCCCAGCCAGCATAACTNAATTCCCCAGCCAGCATAACTGACTCTCTTGTCATCCCTTCCTCCGCAGTCTCTCCACTTGGATCAGAGGCCTTCAAACTTTGGCCACTTTAAGATACAAGTCTTGAAGTTGCCAGGTGTGGAGATCCCTGCGCTAGAGGGCATCCAAAACACTGAGAAAATGGTAGGCAGTCCTTGACTTACAACCATTCATGTAGTGAGCATTCAAAGTTACAATGGCACTGGAAAGAGTGACATGACCCAGTCCTCCCACTTTCCACCACTGCTGCATGTGATCAAAATTTGGGTGCTTGGCAACCAACATGTATTGATGATGTTGGGATCGTGTGATCATCATCTGCAAATTTCTGCAAATTTCACAGCTGGTTTCCGAAAAGCAAAGTCAAAGAGGGAAGCCAGATTTGCTTAACGGAGCATAAATCCTTTCTTTCTTTAGTCCCTTTCTCTGTTGCCTCCCCTTAAAAGAAACCTCAAAGCTGTTTATCGGCCTGCCTGAAATGGTTACTGAATGAACACATTTTGGAGGTTCACCCAACATCGAAACATAAAAGAATCAAACTCTCAGGTTTCCACTCTATACTAAGACACCAAAATAAAATAAAAAAAATGGAACCAAACTCAGTTCGGAAACTTTGCATGCTTTGCAAAAGATATTTTAAGCAACTTTGAAATGAAAGCTTATTCTTTGAACACTTCCACACATTAGCCAAGTTTTAAGTACACTAATCCAAATAAAACTGCCTAACATTAATCTCTCTCTCTCTCTCTTTATCCATCCAACATCTCTATCATCTGAATCCATATTTTCCATCTATCAACTCTATCCCATCTATCCCATCTATCTTATCAATCTGTCCTATCTATCTATCTATCTATCTATCTATCTATCTATCTATCTATCTATCTATCTATCTATCTATCTATCATCTATCTCAGCATTCACACAAAAATACCTCACCACTGCCATACCACCAGGTCTTCTGATCCAACTCTGCCTGATTCAATTCATCCTCATCAATTTGTTACACCTAATTTCAATTATTACACATCTTGTTGTTGTTTAAAAGGAACACAGGCAAATGATCTTGAATAACCATCACACACAGAAAAATTGTTTCAGAAACCAACACTCCTACTTGTTATTCCCTGGAAAACTGTACCAACTAAGTTCCTGGACCTCTTAAAAAAAGGGTTGGCGTGGAATTGAACGTGGAGGTTTCACTATTTTGATCCCTGAGGCTTAAGAGGCAACATTGTCTTGTCATCTCCTCTTCGTAGTAGAACTTCCAAAACTCTCAGTTGAAGTTAGGAGTTCCACCACTTTAAGAAAAACCGTGAGTTGTTTTTGGATTCAGACCAACGAAACCCATCCTTTCCCTGCCTGGAAGGAGTTTCCATCTCATGGAAGAACGTGACACAACACATCAACTCTTGATCGTTCTCCAATTGATTAAACCTCCTTTCCTCTCTCTAAACAGGAAGCTTAGAGCCAATCCAAGAATAGTGGCTCTAAGACTTGTGGACTTCAACTCCCAGAATTCTCCAGCCAGCTATGCTGGGTCCATAAGTCTTAAAGTCCACAAGTCTTAAAGTTGCCAAGTTTGGGCACCCCTGGTCTAGAGGGAGTTTAGGAAGTTCTCTTCTAGATACAGCCAGTATCTGAGTCTACCACCCATCTAGTTTGCTTCTCCAGACCTTAGATGACCTTATCTTCTTTTTTTTCTGGTGAAAATTTTTCACTTTGTTTTTCCATAACCACTCTCACATCATTAATCTTACNGGCAATGGGCAGAATTAGCCTGCAATACTTCATTCCAACCACTGTGCCACCAGGGTTCCCCAGCCAAGGAAATCAACCGTGCCTGGTCATTGTTATGGGGGTTAGGGCCTTTGGGGGCAGAAGACCTCAACCCCCTCACTTACGGGTGTTGATTTTCTGCAGAGAGATGTGCTTTTCCAGCTGGCGCCTCAGTTTCACCTCTGCCCCGTATTTGCCCAGCGTGCCATTGTCGGCGAGGATGAAATGCGTGTGGGAGCTGTTCAGCACACAGAGTTTGCTGAGTGGGTTTGACATCGTCTGATAAAGCTTCGTCACCTGTCAAGCAGAGAAGCGAAGGGTTGTTTGAGTGCAGCGGAGGGCCCCCCAACCCCCAACCCACACCGATGCACTTGTCTCTGGCTGTCATGGGAAATGAAACGGGGGGGGGGTGCCCCTCTGCAGATCTCCGCCATCCCAGAGATGATTTCCCAGGAGGAAGAATGCCAATTAATAGAAAGCTTTAACGAGAATGCTATCAGCCAGCCAAATATAAATTCCCCCAGGCAGATGGCCGTTGGCCTCCTCTCCTGGATGAGGTGCCCAGATGCAAAGAAAAAGGGGGCAGATTTGCAGCATTTGGGAGCAAAGACAGGGCAGCCCCCGTGAAATCCACAACAGAGGTCGCGGGCAGCCCAAAGCTTGAGATGGATTAATTTAATTCTAGCACCACTCGAATCCTTGTTTCCTCTCCCAGCAAATAAATAAAAGCTTTTTTGAACCAAGGCCATCTCTGGTGGAGGATACATCCTGGAGGCGTCGGGGTGAAAAGGGTTGGAGTTCAGGGGGATTCTGGTTAATCTGAAAATGCAAGCAGAGATTTTCCCATCTCCAGTTTGTGCCCTCGTGCGAAGAAGGGAAGGGAAAACCCCGCACACCACTTTGATCCGTTCTAACTCTCAGCTAGGAGTTAGCGCTGCCTGAATGGGAAAGTGACAGCAAAATTGCGGCTAAGCACGAAGCAGGAACTAAAAAAATGAGGCAACGGAAAACTGCACATTAAAATGATTAACAGATTAACAGAGTTGGAAGGGACCTTGTAGGTCATCTACTCCAGTGGTTCCCAAACTTGGCAACTTTAAGACTTGTGGACTTCAACTCCCAGAATTCTCCAGCCAGCATAATTTACTC